AAAGTTTCTTGAGCAAAACACGTAGCTAAGGAGGTCTAAAAAATTGATGCACAGAATATCAAAATTAATTTCTTTGTTTAAGAAATGTAAACATAAAACCACTACTAAATCTTATTAAGTAATCTTAACATTTATACTGCAATTAATCCAACAAGCAACTTTAAGCAGTTCTAATCAATTACAAGGGGAGGAGGGACTTGATACCACCAGATAAATTTCACTTGCCAGTAGCTATCCGTGGGGACAACAGACTAATCAGTAAGATCTCTTTAAATCCCCTGATTGCCAAGCTCCTTCTCCTTGCTGTAAATTAGAATTTGAGAATTATCAACAGAAAAATTGAAAACAACATACTTAAAGATCAGAACCTTACACATTAGTTCAATAAAAATTTCAGAGAACACTAATAAGTTTCATTTCTGAGGTTAAATAATCTGAGGGTAGTTGTATCTTCAGTTAATAATAAGCAGCACTAATTAAGGAAAGGAAAACCTGCTTACAGAATTTCTTTTCTTTTGTCCCACAAGAAAAGCAACGTAAGTGTCTAATTTTTCTCTACATTAAAGATGTTAAGTGAAAATTATTCTATAGAATGATTGTGATAATACGCATCTTTTAAATAAAGAAGTTGGTACTTTTAAGATTAATATTTAGCAGGCCCAATAAATATTTTCTATCCAAGAACCATAATATGAAGAAGTCACAAGATATAACCACATCAGATATACATTTACTGTTTTTTAATAACAATTCAAAGTTTTATTCAAAAACTCTGAATCTTACTTTGAGAGTAGCATTTCTTATCAAAGCAAAATCATCATTAATCATTCTGGTAACTAAAATAACTCAATAACTCAAAGACTTCTTAAACATTTTAAATTCACTATTATTTGTAAACTTCCCCCCCAAAAAGAGAAAGGCAGCTTCATTAAACTTTTATGTTCTCCAAGATAGACTCCCAAACTTAGAAGGAAATAGCCCTTTTTCAATTTTAAAAGTTAAAATTAGATGTCAACTCTTAATGAAAACTAAGATAAAATTTTCAGGATAGCTTAGTATAGTTAATTTTGATATAAGTACAGCAGTGCAAAAGAACACTTGGTCATATTTCAATTCCTTTTAACATGATCTAAAATTCCTTTTACATCAAACCACATTTTTCACACAAATGGCAATATGCACACCCTCACTCCAAATTTTTTAATATTTAAAAATATGTAATAAATGTATAGAATATTTTGTATATCCTTATTTTGTAATAAATGTATAGGATATTTTGCCAAGTATTTATTGAGTACTACCATATGAAAGATGTTCTGGGAGACATTTAGAAAAAACTCACTACATGTTACATCCTTGAATCATGTAAAAATATCCTTGAAGCATGTAACGATACCAAAACTGAGAGATAAGAATTGAAAAGGTCAGAATCTCTTTTTAAAGACTTCTGTTTTTCATTTACCTTAATTATGCCATTGTGCTTGTCTAACTTAGAGCACAAAATCATCTGTGAACAGGTTCAGAATTTTAGAGAGAAGTAACTATCACTACATACACCATTACAGGTATTTCAAAATGTTTAATATATAGATGACTGAAACACTTAAAAATCAAAGACAAATTGAGGAGACATGTAACATCATCATAATCATATCATTTAAGATAATTTTTTACTCTCATTAAAGATTCTCAGAGTTCAATATTTTTATATTTAGGAATATTCATAAAAATGCTAAGTAAGGTTCTTTTCTTAGAAAAAGGACATCTAGATTTTAACAGCCCTGCCCTCGCACTTCTGAGGCAAACATAAAGTTATGATTTTCAATTGAAATAGAGTATAAAGTGTCAAAAGTATAGGTCATTGGATCACACAGAGTATTAAAATAAGTTCTTATTATACTATTTCCTGACATCTTGCTAAAAAATTAAACAGAATCAACTGAATCAGTGGGGTCACTTCCTCTTCAATAATTTAGATTTCATGCCATCTTTCACATTCAATGATTTCTCACAAGTCACTGTATAAATACCCTTCTTAAATAACTATATGTATGAAGTGAACAACCAGATACCATATCTGAAATATTTGTATCTGATTCTTTATACAACCATACCACATTTACCAACACTGAAAAGATAACAAAATAGAATATTTTGCCTCAAACAAACTTGAGAAAATGTGTAAGAAAAGCAAAAGTATGAATCAGAACAGGAAAGAAAGAGAAACACATGTTACTAGAAGGAGGAGCTAAATTTCTCTGGAAGAAACTGTTAGTAGTCATCTCAATATTCTATTGCTTCTATCAGTGTGTACAAAAATGCCAGAGTTAGAACCAGTAGGAAAAAACTAATACTAGAAAAAATGGCTAAGAGTTACCTCGGGATACAAACAATGATGAAAGAGAGGTTCAATTCATAGAAAAGGACAGTAAAGGAAACAATAGGAACGTTTGTAGCTGCCAATAATTTGAGAGCTGAATAAGGTACGGAGGAAAAAAATGCGGGGTATAAAAATAATGAAAGATTAGGTGTCAGATGCTTATGTCAGGAAATTTCTGGCAGAAAAAGCTGTTCCAGTTTTAAAATAGATTATTTTGTCAAGATGATGAAGACTTAAGTCAGAGCACCATAAAAAATAGCACTGCTATTCTTTGAAGCAGAAAGATAGTCCTAATTCAACATTATGGAAGTGAAAAAACTATGCTTTACCCTACACCAAGCAGAATTTTAAACAGAGATGAAAAAACCATAATTATTCACACTAAATAAGCAATAAAGGGAAAGCACGTATGATAGACTAAAGCAAAAACTCAGATACAAAATTATGAACAAGTATCAACTGAGTGATATAAGTATGATAAATACTGGAAGAAAAATGAACAAAAGTTTAAAAAATTATAATAACATGTAGAATAACAGGAAAATTTGTGTCTTTTTATAAATGTATTATGTTATAGTCATTATGATTTTAAATGCAAAATAAATTTGGTTGTGCAATAAGATTTTGAAAAATTAGGCATCCTTCAAAAGAAAACCTAAATGATAAGAAAATTATAAAAATGTAATGTAAAATTTTTATTCAATTAAGTTGTCAGAAACAATGCTGATTTACTTATATACTTAATCATTAAAAAAATTTAAGCATAAAAATCCATATAATACTTTATAACGACTCCAAGTTCTCTTTTTCCCCAAAATGTTTAAACACAATCAGAGCATATTAAGTTGTTTTCCTCATTATTAAAAACTGATAACAAAGTATCTGGGAAGACAAGAAAGAAATACACAGAATACTCGAAATTTTGCATGTGAATGACATCTTTCCCAGGGGCCCTCAAACGTCAGAACCAAAGGCAGAAGCAGCTGTTCAATGCCAATTGCCAGGGAGAATGCAAAGAGAAGTCGTCGCCACAGAAACCAGGGTCCAAACTACACCAGCAACACGGAAATGTGAAGCTGAAAACAGGAAACTGGCAGGAATAAGAACCTACATTTCTGAAGACTATGGTTGGGGAAAGGGAGAGGAATAGAAAGAAAACAAACTTTAGCAATATTCCCAGAAAGAGTTTTGGCACCTTTGACAGAAGCACAGGTATGAAGGCATCCCAAGGGAGGGCTCTTCACTTTATTTGGGAAAAAGGGATCATAGACCCCTCTGAGATCTTATGTTCCCTTTTCCCAAAGCAAGTACCGGGCAACGTTTACTTCATTTCAGGAGTTCCACAACCATGGGTTAAGAAACCCTGCTGAGGAGTTAATGGGGACTGACTAGCTGCCTGACATTCTCACGCACCCATTCATTCAACCGGCCCTCACAAGGGGCTAGACTTTAAGGCTGGGATTCTCTCTGCTATGCTGGCAGCTCTACCTCAGCATCCAGCCCAGAAGAAAAGTTCAACAAACGTTTGTTGAATGAATGCTTGTACGCACAGGTGCTGTGCTGGGAACAGAGATGATGAACAGGTATAATACCAAAACAGCAACCAACGTTTTGTTTATTAAGTGCACACTGTGTTCTCACAGTTTTATGTGTATTTTCACATTTAATGTGCATTTCCTCATTTCTCCCCTCGCGGTGGCCCCCATCAATACCCATCTTACAGATGAAGCACAAACAGCTTAGCAATTTGCACTTCAATCACCCATCCAGTAAGTGATGGAGCCCCAATCCTCACCCAGGGAATCTGATTCCAGAGCCAACCTCTTGGGAGCTCACAGTACAGAGGAGGCATCAGACACGGTGAGGGGGAGAGGGAGGGAGGAGCAAAGTGTGACCCGGTCTGCAAGTAAAAGGAGGTAGTAAGATGCCCTGGCAGATCCTTGCCAGTCCTGAGAGGCGAGAAGCTGCAAAGCTGCCCAGGGAGGCGCGATGCTGGCCAGAGTCTTGAAGGAGTTCGCAATGTGAAGGCAGGGAGCTGGGAAGTGACTTTTTTTTTTTTTTAAGGGGGCGCTGGATAGCTCTCGTCGGGTTTCACCGAGCGCCCACTTGGTGTCCGGCCCCAGGTCTTAACCAGACGGGCCCGGGCCTAGAGACCCCAGGGCTCGGGTTAACGAGACGACGCCGGGAGGCGGGGAAGAGGCTGGGGGGCGCCGGGGCCGCGCCGGGGTTCCTGCAGGCGTGGGACGGCGGGCCCGCTTGAGGACTGACCTTCCCGGAGGTGCCGTCCCCCAGCACGACGATTTTCAGTTGCCGGTCCTGGCTCTCCTCCTCAGAGTCCGACATGGTGTCCCGGGAACCAGGCCCGCCCCCCGAGGTGGAGTGAGGAAGGGAAGGAGGAGGCCTCCAGGGGCGGGGGAGAGGAGGAAGGGAAGCAGTGGGGGCAGGACCCCCCGCCCCGGTGTCTCAGCAGCCGCTGGAAGGATTGGAGAGAATTACTCGCCGGACGCCATCTTGCCCTCCGCCCCTCCCCCCTGCTCGGGTCCCGCCCCCTGCGCGTCACGTCGGGCGCGCGCCCCCGCCTCGGCACCAACCCGCGAGGACCGCGGGGCTCCCTGGAGAGCCGCACCACTCGCCGCCCGGGGCTGGGGGAAACGCTCGAGCGGGAGAGAAGAGCCGATGCGCTCTTTGCAGAAGTGGTCGGCTAGGGGGGAAATAGAAGTGTATCTTTCAGATTACGTGGGAAAAAATGGGAGCAGAGTAGCTCGTAGGCGTTCTATCCAGTTCCCTTGTTTCCCTCCCCACTTTATCAGGTCCCTGACGTGAATGGTTTAGCCCGAGGGGGGCGGAGGAGGGACGCCTGGGCTGCGCACCACGGTTGCCATGGAAGCCAGGAGTCCGCGGAGAGGCGGCTGGGCGGCGTCTGTCCGGGCACCCTGGACGTGGGTTGCCCGGCGGAGCGCTCAGGGGAGAGGCCCCTGGAGCTGGTGCGGGCTCGGGAGCTCGCGTGCCGGAAGAGTAACGTCTGGGAAGAGGGCGCGGCCGGCCGGAGAAGCGGGCGGCTAAGGGCCGAGGCTGCAGGGAGGCTGCAGTGGCGGCCGTGAGGCCTCTCAGACTCTCGGTTTCTCGTTCATTCATCGAGCATTACCAAGCGCTAACCCCGTAGCCCTCGGATTCTAGGACAGCAGTTCTCAAAGTGTGGTCCGGGGATAAAGTCAAAACAATTTTGATAAGAATACAGACACTTTCTTTGCCCTTTTCACATTCATTCTCTAACAAGCTTGCAGTTTTCCGGAGAATACGCGTAGTGTATGACGTCATCACAGCTAAGGGGGCGTGTGCTTGTTATTCTGTGTTTAAACATTTCTCAATTTTAATTTCAATGCAGTAAAGATAGGTATAACCCACATAAACATAAGCTCTTTGGATTCCACGGTAATTCTTAAGCGTATGGAGGGACCCTGAGTCCGAAAAATTTGATAACTGCAGCCCTGAATGATCTCAGTTCAAGAGGGTGAGTAAATGGCATCCTTGAAAATTACAATATAGTGAGATAAATTCTACAATAATAATGCAAGCCCACTATGTTTGTCTTGTTAATCACTTTACATGGATTATTACCTTTACTTCTTATAGGAATCCAAAAAAGTACGTAGAAGTATACCCATTTTACAGATGAGGAAGCTTAAGTTGCAGGAAACTTAGCTCAGACTCAATGGCCCTGGAGAGAATATGGGAATTAGAATCGGAAAGCAGGACAGTTTAACGAAATGCCCAGCCCTGGAGGCAGCACTGGAGTTGTATTCACCGACCTGCACTTCCTACATATGTTCCCTGGAGCCACAATTTCCTCATCTGTAAAATAGACTACTGCCTCTGTAGGGTTGAGAATTAAATGAAATAATCAGTATAAAGTAGCATACAGATCATGATGCCTGGCATGTAGTAAACACTTAGTATTAACCAGTGTGATTTAACACCCTTATCATCATCATTAACCATGTTGGAAGCACCACTACTTTCTAGCCATGTTACCTTAGACAAGTTTCTTATGTAGAGCCTCGGTCTCCTCATCTGCAGATATGTCTGGGCCACGATAAAAGGTACCCAGTTGGTATTAGCACCCAGTTATTTCCCCACTCTCCCACTACTGCTGCCACCACCAACCTTTCTAATCACTGGATTTGTTAATGAGAATCAGAAGAAAGAGAGTATGTGAAAGGCTTTGTAAACTTCTTTATTATTGTTGGTTTGAGGAATCTGCTTTTTAGTGAGGACAGACTTAACCCATTCTTGTCCATGCGGAAAGTTAAAATGCCAGAAATTTGCTTTTCCACCCTTCCTTGATGGAGATGGCTATGTGATCCACCTGACCAATGAGATAGAAGACAGTGTCCTTTGGGATACATTTGAAAAAGATATCCCCCAACCCTACCCCCCCCAGGTTTTTTTTTTTAAAGAAAAGGAAAACAGGAGAGATGCAGAAGAGCCTTCCTCCTCCCTTCCCTTGCTTTCATTATTGGGTGAAAAGAGGACATTTGGAACTACCACAGCTTCTTCAGCCTGTCATCTAGGCTTCTTGTTATGGGAAATAATACTAAGACACTGTAGTGATGTATTCTATTACTTGCAAACAAAAACATCCCAACTGGCACAACTATACTACTTTGGCCAAAATCTATATTCAGCTAAAGTCATAGGACTGATTTTCATGTGTGGAATTATATGAAGAGAAATCTAGAAGAAAACTTGCAGTATTCTTATCATCAACTTCCAAGATGACTGCCCTGATGGAAAGACAACTTTTATGTGGATATGGGTATATCTGGGGGGTATTGCTATATAAAGCAAGAAGTCAGTTGCATTATTTTAGTGACCCTACTTTACACATATATGGCAAGTTTCTGGGTTTAAAGTTAGAATGTGAAGACTTAGAGCCATTTTTGAAAATTAAAAAGAAAAATATCTTCTGCATAGAGGACCATATTAATATTGAGAGCTTCCAGTATGGTACTTTAACATTCTAAAGAAAAATAGAACTGATCCACAGGAAAGGAAATGTCTGTGTAGATTTTCAGGTATAATACCCATAACAGGGTCATAGACTAGAAGAATGGTTTTCTGTGGTTTTAAAACAAATAAACAAAAGGTTTAGATAAGTATTCTAGACATTTCAAGAAATTAGGCTTCTTTAGAACCCTAATTTTAAAATATATTCCCTAGCATCCCTGACAGATAATCATCCAAATTTTATTTGAATACATCAATATTCAAGGAGTTTATTCCTTCATGAAGCAACCTGGACTATGATGGATTGGCTTGGTCATTAGAATAATCTCTTTGATGATAAGCCAAAGTTTATAATTATAAATTCCAGCTAATGGTATTAGGTATGTCCTCTGGAGTAAAACAAAATCTCCCCATTCTATAGGAAGATGTTCAGAGTGATTCATTAATAATTAGTGATTAATGTGATAAATGTTTAATGAATGCCTATTTTGTATTAGGATTCTTATTCACAACTCTTCTAAGCACTGATGCACAAAAGTGAACAAAACATACAAGGACTCTGCTCCCATGGAATGTATAAACTGGTAGAGAGGTCTAGTAAGCTGAATAATAGCCATGCAGAGATATCAGGCCCTAATCATTGGAATCTATAAATGTTACTTTGTTCTTTTATTTAAAAAAAAAAAAAAAGCATCTTTCAGATGTGATTAAATTAAGCCTCTAGATGGGGAGGCTATCCTGGATTATCTGAATAGACCCTGAATGCAATCACATGTATCCTTATTAGAGAGAAGTAGAAGAAGATTTGGCCCAGACAGAAAAGAAGGCAATATAAACATAGAGACAGAGACTGCAGTGATACAGCCACAAGGTAAGAAATGCTGGCAGCTACTAGTAGCTGGAAAACGCAAAACAAATTCTCTCCTGGAACTTCTGGAGGGAACACAACCCTGCTGACTCCTTGATTTCAGTCTAGTGACATTGATTTAGGACGTCTGTCCTCCAGAACTGTGAGAAAATAAATTCATGTTGTTTTAAGCTACCAAATTAATGGTAATTTGTTACAACAGCCACAGAACAGTAATACAGGAGATCTTCAAAAAGTTCATAGAAAGTCCATATTATGAAAATCTATGCATAAATTTCAAAAAAATTTTTACACCAAAATAACTTATAGTAAACTTGTTATAACTTGGCTAAACAGGATCTAGTTTCAGGCGCAAAGAAGCCCAAGCCATCAGTTTGAAAGGAAACCCTATCAGAACAACATGAATTCTACTGAAATTGAAAGAAGGACAAATATCAAATTGATAATGAAGGTTGAACAGAAGGATGGTGAAATCATGGAAACTTTGATAAATCACAGAGTGTGTGTATAATAGTATATCAAAGAGGGAAGAGGTGACAGTTGGAAACCATATTGGAAAAGAAATAAAATTGGAATTCTACATTTCATTATACACACAAATTAATAAATTCCATTTAAATAAGAATCTAAATGTGAAAAATAAAAATACTAGGAGGAGGCTATCTTATCTTAGGATTGAGAAGGATTTCTTGATCAAAACACAGAGTTCCTCATAAAAGAAAAAATTCAAGAAAATTGCATTAAAATTAAAAACTGTTCATCAAAGCATATTAAAAAGTGAAAGTATAAACCACAAACTAGGAGGAGATATATTCAATATATAAAACTTATAGCCATTGTTTGAGCTCAGGAGTTCAAGACCAGCCTAAGCAAGAGCAAGACCCCGTGTCCACTAAAAAAAAAATAGGTAAGAAATTAGCTGGAAAGCTAAAAATATAGATTAAAAAAATTAGCTGGGCATGGTGGTACATGCCTGTAGTCAGAGCTACTCAGGAGGCTGAAGCAGTAGGATTACTTGCACTCAGGAGTTTGAGGTTGCTGCAAGCTAGGCGGACACCACCGCACTCTAGCCCAGGCAGCAGAGTGAGACACTGTTTCAAAAAGAAAAAAAAAAAAAAAAGCTTATAGCCTATTGGTATCCAGAATCTACAAAAAGCTACAAATCCTTGAGAAAAAAAATTCTCAAGAATTTTTTTGAAAATGAGCAAACAAAATGAAACAACACTTTAGAGAAGAAAAAACGTACGGTGAATAAACTTATACAAAAATATAAGTTAATATAATATAATCAGAAAAACAAAAAGGGTCTTCATGAGATACCATTTCATACCTAGTATATTAGCAAAAACTAAAAAGTCCAACAATTTCTTCATCAGTCAAGAAAATAAAAAACACACAGGTAGGTTAACAAACAGAAATAATACAGGGAATTGGTTACAAGGTGTTGAAAGGCAGAAAAAAACAAAAAGGAAAACGGGGTAGCACAAAGTTACTGCAAGAAGCAGTTACAACCTTTTAGACTAGGGGAACAAAGGGAAGAGGTTTGGGTTATCATAACTTTGAAGCTGAAAGGAGAAGGCTTGGAGATTTGAGACCCAGAATTTTGCTGCTGCTGTTCTTTACGAATATGCAGGAAGGATCCAAGGGCCGAGACCCAGAATTGTGAGGACGAAATTGCATTGGCTGCTACTGGCCATACATTGGTAGATCCAATATTTAGGGGTCCCACAGAGCTAGAACTCACCCCTAAGGAGAGGACCCTGCTCAGCTGCTTCTGGTGCCTCTAAATGAGCGCAGTGAGGCTGATTCAGGGAATGTGGCAATAATCACCGCTATAACCAGCTACTGCTGCTCAGGCAAAATGCCACTTTTGGAAGAACACTAATAGGAATACCAAGCAAACAGGGAAGAAAGCCCCTTCTGCCTCCTCCTACTTTCCAAACTCCCTCTTGTGGCCCCCATTAGCAGAAACTAAAAGGAAGCAAGCTGGCAAAAGAAAAATGTAAATTTGGAAAGTATTAGCCCCATCTTAAGTCAGTATAGAATATATGTAAGTTTGGAGGTTAAAGCCAATACCTTTATAACTGGCACAATACCAATTGTTAAGGAGCATGTAGATCAACAGGAACTCTTATTCACTTCTTGTAGAGAGCACTTGCAACCACTTGAAAAACAACTTGTCATTACTTCGTAAAGTTAAAGATCTGCATGACCTGTGACCCAGCAATTCCACTCCTAAGCATGCACCCTGGAAATCTCATGTATATATACAGCAGGAGAAATGTGCAAGAATTGTCATAAGCTCATTTGCATTAGAAAAATAATCCAAAAGCCTTTCAAAAATAGATTTTGGCATATTCACACAAGAAAATATTATAGAGCATTAAAAAAATGAACGCACTACAGCTATGTGGGTTTATCATAGAAACACAATATTGAGTGAAAAAAAAAGCTAATCTGAAAAGACCTCACAAGGTATGATACCATATTTATAAAGCTCTAAAACAAGAACTCAAAATTAAATGTAAATATATATGTATGTATGTGTGTAATGAAAAAAAATCCAAAAAGAGAATGGTAAAAGAAAGTGGATGAAGGCCGGGCGCGGTAGCTCACGCCTGTAATCCTAGCACTCTGGGAGGCCGAGGCGGGAGGATTGCTCGAGGCGGGAGGATTGCTCGAGGTCAAGAGTTCAAAGCCAGCCTGAGCAAGAGCGAGACCCCGTCTCTACTATAAATAGAAAGAAATTAATTGGCCAACTAATATATATACAAAAAATTAGCCGGGCATGGTGGCGCATGCCTATAGTCCCAGCTACTTGGGAGGCTGAGGCAGGAGGATTGCTTGAGCCCAGGAGTTTGAGGTTGCTGATGCCACAGCACTCAGTCTAGTCTGGGCAACAACGCAAGACTCTGTCAAAAAAAAAAAAGAAAGTGGATGAAACAGAAAAGGAACAGAGGGGGAGATACGGGTTATAATTATTTATTTTGGGGGTTAATGTCTTAGTCATTTTCTGTTGTTTATAACAGAATACCAGAAACTGAATAATTTATAAAGAAACAAATTATTTCTTACAGTTAAGGCTGAAAAGTTCAAGGTTGATGGGCTGAATCCAGTAAGATCCTTCTTGCTGGTGGGGACTCTGCATAATCCTGAGTTGGTACAGGGCACCACGCGGGGAAAGACTGAGTGTGCTTATGTGCTAATGTGCTAGCTCAGGGGTCTCTTCCTCTTCTTATAAAGCACCAGTTCCCTCCCATTAATCCATGAGTGGATTAATCCATTAATGAAGGCAGAGCCTTATGATCAGATCACTTCTTAAAGGCCCCACCTCTTAATGCTGCCACATTGGTGATTAAGTTTCAACATGAGTTTTGGAGGAAACATTCGAACCATAGTAGATGGTGGTTGTACAAATTCATTATTTGATCATGTTATGTAACTTATTTATATCTTAAATTATTTTCTATATATGTAATAGAAAAATGATGCCTGTGTAATCTTTTAAGTATTGAAAACAAATGAGAACTTCAAGATGTTTTTAAAAATATTATTAAACTACCAAAATTAAAATTGTGTGGAATAGACACCAGAGTAGATAGATGTATTCTTTCAACAGAAAAGTTTAAAAAGGTCCCAATGTATGAAGAAATTAACTGATTAGTAATGGTAGTGTTTCTAATCAGTGGGGAAAACACGGGAATAATTTTTAAAACTAAGTATCCTGGGCTAGGGGTGGTGCTTTATGCCTATAATGCTAGCATTGTTGGAGGCCAAGGCAGGAAGATTGCTTGAGGCCAGGGGTTTGAGACCAGCCTGAGCAAGATCGACTGCATATCTACGAAAAAAAAAAAAAAAATTAGCAGGAAGTGGTGTCATGCCCATAGTCCTAGCTATTTGAGAGACTGAGGCAGGAGGATCACTTGAGCCCAGAAGTTTGAGGCTGCAATGACTTAAGATGATGCCACTGCACTCTAACAATGGAGTATCTACCTCATTCCTCACTTCAAAATGAATTCTGCACGAAATTAAAGCATATTTTAAAAATGAAACCATAACAAACTAGAAAAAAGTAGATGAGTATTTATAATCTGACGTGGAAATATCTCCTCTAACCATGGCATGAAGCTCAAGTCACAAAATTAAAGACCAATAATTTTTGTATATAAAATTTTACACATCCATGTAGCCAAAAGCACTATTAGGATCATATAAACTTCGAGCAAAGATAGATTAGATGATTTGTACCAATCTTCCCACTGAGGACACCTAGAAAATCTAGACATAATATTTTTTATTCTGTTTGAAATTATCAGAGAGCTAATAAATTATAGTATGAGAAATTGTGGGGCTAAAATTTAGGTGAGGATAAAAGCTCAAAAAGCAGCATTGGGGGCAACTCTTCCCAGACAGTATCTGCAGATTCAAAAAGTAGAGCTGAGAGATAGAGAAGATAAGTAGAACTTTTAACACCCTCATAAAACTGGGAGGAGAAGAGCTTACCAATGGAATTAAAGGCACATCAAGGAGGAGGGGTCTTAGTAAATTAGACCCCTGTTCTTTAGATTGGGCCCCTGAAAAGCAACATCTTAAAAGAAAGAGTGGATGTACCAGAAATAGATGGTCTCCATGGGAACTGAAGCCAATTTTTGAGTTATCTTAATTTCTGATTAAATTAAGATGATCTGGGGGTTGCTGGTGTCCCTAAGTGAACCAGAGAAGCAAAGGTACAGTCTCTCTGGATGAATATAATATCAAACTATCTTTACAATTTTCCATAATCAATATATGATACTCAGTCCAAAACTTGTAGTATGAGGAGCAAAACTTTGTGACTTGAAATCGAAAGAATTTACGAACAAAAGGAATCCAGATATACCACAGGAATCCAGATAATGGAGATATAAAATATGGGCTTTAAGACCCTAATATGTTTAAAGTATTAAACAACAAGACTGAGAATTCTGTCAAGGAAGTTGAAACTATAAAAAAGAATCAAATGGAAATTACTGATAAAAATATAATACCTGAAATTAACCCAATAAATAAATAAGTGTTACAACTGGTTAGATACAATTAAAGAGAGGAATAATAAGGTAGAAATAAATTGGAAGAAAATACCCAAACTGAAGGACACAAAAATAATAGAATAAAAACATAGAAAATATGATAAACATATAGAGTATGGTCAAAATGTGTAACTGGAGTTCCAGAAGATATATGTTTTTTCTTGACTCATCACAAAGTTGGCACTCCATAGTAGTGAGTGAGAGAAGGACTTTCTTTTCAATATATGGTCTTGGGCCAATTGGATATCATATAGAACAAAAATGAATCTTGAATCCTACCTTATACCATATTCAAAAATCAAAATCAATTCTAGCCATTTCATAAAATTAAGTATAAAGGTGAGAAATCTTTTAAAAGATTACATGAAATATTTTGGACTGGCCAAAAATTTCTTAAAGGAGACACACATACACACACACAAAACAACCTTTAAGGGGAAAGTGGATTAAATGAGTAACATTAAAATTATTTTAAAATTCTGCTCATCAGAAGATACCTTTAAGTAAATTTAAATGAAAACTTCAGAGCAGGAGAAGTTATTTTCAATACATATAACTCACAGATATTTGTGTCTAGAAGTAGAAAGTACACCTGCATCAATAAGAAATAGACACAAATAACCCAATAGAATATTGGACATGAAGCTAGAGAGGCACTTCAGAAAATAGACAGTACTATGAAAAGGTTCTCAACTTCATTAGTAATCAGATAAATGGAAATTAAAACTGCAATTAGCTATACTACATATCCACCAGAATGGCTAAAATTCAAAAGTTGACATTGCCAAGTATTGGAGAAGATGTGGAGCCAGTAAATTGTCCATGCATTACTCATAGGAACAGAAATTTCTGTAACCACTTTGGAAATCTGTTTGGCATTATCTAGTAAAGCTGAATATATGCATCCTGTAGTCTAGCAATTTTATTTCTTAGTACCTACCCTAAAAAATACATCCAAGGATATGTATGAGAATGTTCATAATGGCATTATGCATAACCCCAAAACTGGAACCAGTTCAAGTGTCCATCAGTAGTTGCAGGGGAGGCATGGGGGTACACTTGTACTCCCTTAATACGCTAAAATAAAAAAATAAAAATATTACAGCAACATAAATAAATAAATACAAATAATTCAGTTGTGGCATATTCACACAGTGGGATATTATGCAACAATGAAAATGAATGAATGGTTATATGTTACAATACCAAAGAATCACATCAATATAATATTGAATGAAAGAAGCCAAACTAAGGAGAGCATCCTCTGTGGTTCCATTTATAAAATAAAGTTTATTAAAAAAAACCACTAGTATTAGCAAAGTAATAGCTACCTCTGATTGAGAAGCTTTAGAATTACTGGTAATGTTCTAGTTCTTGACTTGGGTGGTGGTCACATGGGTGTGTCTAGCTTATTATAATTCACTAAGAATATGCACTTAAGATTTGTACAATTTTCTGTATGTTTTACTTACATTAAAATTATAAATAATACATATATGGTTGATAGTAAATGTATATAAAATTAAATCTAGAAGAATACAAACCAAATTATGAATGGGTATTAATAGCAGTGAGGTTATAGGAAGCTATCTTTTTTCATGTTACATTTTGGTATTGTATGGATTTTTTACAGTGAACACAAATTTGATTTGAAATTGGAAAAGAAAATTAATCAATAGGTCAACAATAATGAAAGACTAATATTAACAACAGTCCTTTTCTCAGTGGGTGGAAAAGGACTTGGTCATTTTAATCACATTAATTAGCAGTAAATTCTGCTAATACATACAAAACCTGTTCGTTTAATAACCATCTAAATGCCTTTGTTTGAAAAGAAAAACTCTTACTTGTAACAGAACCCCAAGCTGGTTTGTGAGCTGCAATTTTCCAGCTGTCCACAGTTCTGCCTCATTGCTTGGGGATGTGCTTCATTGATTCCTAAAGCATAGCTCCAGACAAAACTAAAAATCTGTAGAGCAGGAGAGTTCTCAAATCACCTCTACAGCTGTGAAAAAAGACCTAACAGAACTCACTGGCAAAGCTGGAATGGTTAAATAAGGTAATATGTGTAGAAGTGTTTTGAAAAATAGGAATTGTGGTACAAATGCAAAATATTATTTGAAGCTTGATTGTGGGAGCTTTCAGGACGTGAATTTCCTTGACCATCAAGAACCAGCATAAAGAATTCAGTGATTCTAGGGAAACTCTCATTTCCAGAGTCCATATGAGGGCAGTGCTACAAATGTTCTGTAAGTCACAATATCCCTTCCTTTGATCCCTTCTGAAACCTTGTTTTACAGACCTCTCTATTGCATAACTGCATTACCTATGATATCCTTTAGCTGTGTCATCTGGGTTTCCAGTTTATCTGTGTGGGTAAATTTAGGTTTAAGACATTCAGACAAGTGGGGTGTTATTATAAAATGTTATCTTAATGTTGGGATGACATTTCCCAAAAGTAAGTTCTTTGGACACTGATTGCATGAATTGCTGTTCAAATAAAGTTTGAAAACAGCTATAGCTAGCCCACATTTGGAAAGTGACAATACAATTAAACAGATCATAGTCAGAGAAATATTGCAATAAATAATATCTTTGTACCTTTTTAACCTGATATTACTTGGAAAAAGGGTTCTTTGGCCAAATAAGTTTCTGGAAATTTCCCAAACTTACTTGACCAAAGAAACCTTTCCCCAAGTAATATTTACTAATATTATATGGAATTAATATTGCATAAAACATCATTTCAGAAACCATGCTTTAAAACTAAAAAACTCCAGGAGAGAAAGAAATGTTACACATAGTGAAGAAACTGATTTCTAATATCTAAATCCTCATTACAGAAGGGCTCATATGCAAAAGGCTTCAGTGTGCCCCTAAATATATGGAGAGTTCAGTTTTATGATATACAAATATTTTGATTCACAATGTGTTTAAAGCTTTCTCAGTGCCTTAGTCATTATTACTAAAACAAATTAGTGTATCATAAGATTATGAACAGATGTTCAAGCATAGTGGTTAAAACAGTAGCTTAGATTTGAATAGATCTGATTTTCATTTATAGTCATGTTTATGACCTCGAACAAATAATCTATATTTTGAGAGCTTCAATTTTCTCATCTATAAAAACAGAAATTATAGTAATAGTACTTACTTCATAGGATTTTTATGAAGTTTATCAACAATACACATATGGTATGCTGTGTATAACACTAAATGTATGCTAGAACCTATTATTAAAATGTCTTATTTTGATCAAGTAAACACATTAGAACATAAATATTCAAATGAGTTTTGTCTGTAAAGAATTCACGATGGCAGGTTATCCAGTTAAGCCAGTGGCGCTAATATTTTCCAAATATCTTTTTTACAAGGTGAGTGAAGGGGGAGATAGAGTAAGGTTTCTGACTAAATATGAATAAAGTTTGGTGTGATACGGGAGAGTCATTTTCCTAAAGAAATGTAAATGAATTCAATAAAAACATTGTATATAGTTCATGTACACATAAAGCCGTGGATTAATATACTACATGCTGTGTGATGGTTAATGTTCAAAAACTGAGGTTTCCTGGAGAAGAAGAAATTCTAGCTTAAGATAGCAACAGTTTAGAAATCCTGACTGAGTTTCCAGCCAGCAGCCTGCTCTACAAATTTCAGACTTTCCAGTGTCCAAAATTACATAAACCAATTCTTTAAAATTTCTTTCTTTCTTTCTCTCTCTCTCTCTCTCTCTTACACACACACTCACACACACACACACACACACACACACACACACACACACACACATAGACACACCACACTAGTGGTTCTTTTTCTCTGAAGAATCCTGACAGGCACGTGCTATGAGAGATACAAAGATGAACTATGACTTCATTTGATTAGTAGGTATGCTCTTTGCAAATAAAAGAATTTCCCAATTTTTCTTTTCTTCAGCACCCATTGTGAACCACACACCTCATGAAGAACTAGGACGTACATTATCTAACTTCCTTCATACTAATCCAACAAAAGTAAGATGAAGTAGATCTTAAATTAGTTTATAATTTATAAACTATTTACAACTTATAAATTATTTCATTTATAAATTGTAATTTATTAATTGCTTTACAGAACATAAATCCCTGAAAGAAGCAGTGGAAATGGAGGAAAAAATAAAGCAGGAAATAAGGTAATGTAGAAATGAACAAAATAAGTAGGAAAAAAGAAATTACCTTGAAAATCCATTGTCATTTACTCAGGAAACATTTTGAGTTCTCTTAGGCTGAGCCTAATTAGCTTTTTCCAAAAAAAAAGGTTTAATTTCTATTATATATAATGGATTAAAGCACACATTTTCCTAATTACTTGACCCTCTGCTGCTCCATGGCATATTCATAAAAGTTATTTAAGGATATATACTAGAAAAAGTATAATGAAAGTAAAAAAACATGGACTTAATTTCAGCTCTACTTATTACTAACTTGGAAGTCTTGGATAGACCTCTTAGCTTCAGTTTTTTTACCCATAAAATAGAAATAAAAGACCTCACAAGAGTACTATGAAGATCAAATTAAATACTGCTATTTTAAAGAATTCCAAGGGAGACGACAGCACCGTGCTCTCAATAAAAGCCTTAGATAGCATAGATATTTCAGGTTTTCTGATCTTGTTAAAGAACTACAATGTGTGTGGTGGTAGCAACTGACCGCACCCAGGAGGATTTAGTATTATGAGGGGTCATCACAACAGAATAAAAATAAATAAATATAAATACTAGATAAAGAGGATCTGTATTATGCAAACCATGGTATATTTCAACAATACTAAATAGACTTATCAACTATCAGTCCCTTACATTCATTAAACCACTATGTCCAGACATGGCTAGGTGTCAATCTTTCTAAATTCTTTAAACTCATGTGTATAGTCTGCAATAAGAATTTATTGCATTTCATTTTGGTAATCTTGTATGCATGCTCCTCACAATAAACAGGCATCTTAAGCAAAAGATTAAATATTTAAAAAGTAACTCTGTAAGTATACAAGGATATGTATGTACTTGTTGGTTTTGTTCATTTGAACTTCCTGGTTATTTTATTTTCTTTGCATGTACTTTGCATGTACTACCAGAGATTTAAGAAGAAACTAAATTCTGATTCTAGCACTTTTACAAACTACAAATTCTATAAATTTCTCCCAACTAAAACTAATGACTTTTAAAAACTAAAACTCTGCTTTTTTAAAAAAATGGAACTTTCAGAATTGAAAATTACAATCATTGAATTTAAAATCTTAGTAAATGGATTAAATGGTACATTTGAAACAGCTCTGTAACTGGAAGATAGATATAATGAAATTACCCAGAATGTAACACAAATTTTATTAAATATATATATTTTTAAAATGAAAGCAGAATTAAGAAACATGGAGAATACAATGAGAAGTTATAACATATAACTAGAGCTGGAGAAAGAGAAGAGAGACAGAATGTGGAAGAAGCAATAAATTAAAGCCTGAGGATTTTCTAGAACTAATGAAAGGAATTAAAATGCAGATAAAGGCATTATAATATAATAAATAATAATAGAAAGTGACACCTAGATTCATTGTGGTAACACTCCACAACTTACCAAAAACTGGGAAAAAACTTTGTTATATTTTGTATATGCTAATCACAGACTCAAATTAATTAATTTTTCTGTAACCAGGAAAATGCAAAATATTATAATATCATGTGTGATGATGCATTTAAGTGCTATTTTTAAAGCATTTGGTCCTGTGTTTTTTAAATTTTTTCTCTCTTTCTCTCTGTATCAGGCCAATTCATTGCATGCTAGAAGTTATATAGCACAAAGCATTTTCCCCAACTATTTATGTTCTTTCCTTACTTAGGTAAAGTAAATCCCATACTTTCTCAATGGGGTTAAGGTCAGGACTCTGAGGGGAGCCACTCCTTCCTAATTAGTTCCCCAGACTCCTCTTTTTTCTCCCCTTTAAATGGCCACAACAGTCTAGAAAAATGTTTGGAGTCATAATCCCCCTGATAAATGAATCCCTGATCAAGCAGCTGGTTTCCAGAAGGGACTCCTTGCTGTGCTGCAATTATGTTGAAGCTGAACTCCAGTAGTTAGGTCACAGCTGAAGGACTAGAGGGAAAAATACCTATCTCTGAGCTCCACTGTATGACACACTAAGCAAAAAGACTCCTGCTTCTCCCCTCTGAAGCCCTCACCATAAAGACCAATATTCTTGTTAGTTACTGAGAAAAATATTTAATGATGTAAAAACGTGCAGGTCCCCTACTGGTGACCCATGGCAGGGGAAGATCCGTGCTTTCAGTGAGTACACGCAATTTAAAACTCATCCTAGAAATCTTGAAAATGATTTTCTTTGTATTAGATAATGCACTTAATTTCTGAGCTACTGGAACAGTCATCTATCAACAGTTAGTGGAGACATATTATTTGAGATTTTGCAGTTAAAGTCATTCCAAAGGAAAATATAAACTTATATGTCATACTGAGAAACATAAGATACAGGGAATTAGAAAAGGCTACATCTTAAATACTAGAAACAATGGCACTTTAAAACACACACAAACACAGAAACACACACAGAATTTTTCACCTGGACACTAGCTGAATGTATAGATTTCAGCAACCTTTTCATAACTCTTATACATTTATCTTCCCTCCTTGATTCTTCTATTCTTCTAAAATGCTGTATTCATGTTCCATGTGAAAGTTCAGTTCTTCCTCATTTGATACTGTCAATAACGTTATATCAAATATGAAATTGATTTGTATATATGCCAAGAAACAATGTTAACTTCTTTATTTTAAGTGTGTCTAACTAAATGTACCTTTCCATGAGACCATTAGGAATATTTTTATCTTAATTTTTAAAAAAATTCAAATCTTTCTGGAAAAAAAACATTTTAAAAGACAATGAGTTTTTTTTTTTCATTTGTTTATTTTTTGTTTTGTTTTGTTTTATTTTGGACAATGAGATTCTTATTGTGTAAAAAAAGATGACGATTCTCCCTATTCCACATTAAAAGACAAGAGACCAGAGTCAAGTGGGGATTCTGGGCAAGATGGCTGACCAGAGAGACACCAGCTGCTAGACCATCACAATAAGAAGGAGAAGTTTTAAATGAAAGAGAAAAAACGAACAGACAGAAAAACATAGATCGGATGTGGGTCTGAAGGAAGGGTGCCAGAGCCTCCAGGAGACTCCACAGGAAGAAATTGCAGTGCAGAATAAGAAGGAGCAAGGTATTGGCAAAGATTAACCCCTGAGAGGTTTGGAGACCAGCGAGAAGGGCAGGTGAAGTGGTTTATTTCTCTCTTCCTCACATCTCTGACAGTTGAAGGCTTCCTGAGCTGCTGGAGAGAATTTCTGCCCACATAAGACCAGAGGCTGCTGCAGCCAGTGAGCTAGGAACTTCTTGTGGACAGAGCACAAGACTCTCAGCCCCCTTGGGACACTTTCCACCCCCATAGACCTGAGCCAGGATGGCAGGCACCACCTTGCCTCCCCACCCACTATACACCTTTGGCCTCCCCAGGGCACTTCAACTCCTTAGGTGCATCCTGCTCATTCCCACACAGACACTTCCCAAATTAGGTCCAGACTACAGGAGCCATGGGCATTCAGTGGGTCCTGGGTGATCTGCATGACTCCAGAGCCTGGACATCCTGGGCAGACTGCCTCCCAGAGAGAGGGTTGGAGATGACCGGAGTGCTAGCTTTCTTCCAGCCAGACTGTTTTTCTCCCCTTCATTTCCCCCACCACAGCTACTGAGAGAGACAAGTGAGCTACCACATTGAGGCTTCCATGGAGAATGGAGCTCAGGCCTTTCTTCTTGGGGTCTTGAAGTGGACAGAAGGGTGCTCAGACTGTGAACTCCCTGCTCGCTGTCCCTCTCTGGTGCTGCTTGCCTGGTGACTCCATCAGAGCAGGGTATGGCCCAATGTGGAGGGACAATGATCCTGCTCAGGCACCCCATGGACGGCTTAAGACCCATGTGCTTTTCCCTGCCATGGTCAGGGATTGAACTTCTGGGTTTTGGGAGGTGAGGAAGCCCACATAGGCAGATCTGGGGGCAGAGGGCTAACTGTGGCATGCTGGTGAGGCACCACTTCCCCCATGAGAGGGCCACACTATCAGCTCAGGCTGGGATCCTGGGTGGGGAACCTCCAAGCCCACAACACAGTCATGGGAAAGCTCAGCTGTCTTGGGCTCCAGCCTGCCAGCAGATGCTAGGGGAAGACTGTGGAGCAAAGGAGGGAAGAGAACAGTGAGGCCCACTGCAGACTGATAGTTTGTGAATCTCAGACAGAGCTGCTTCCACAGCAGACTTTTTGGTTGGGTGGGGCCACTTCAGTCCCTCTCTAGTGGCTCTGCCCAGCAAGTGAAAGCAGACCTTTGACCCTTGCCAAAACATCTATCTTGCCAGCTTTTGTGCAGCCTGAGGGCAAGCCCACCCAACCCAGCCCGGCCCAGCCATGCTTCCCCACCCACCTCTGCTGTGGCAGAGAATAAGAGTTCAATGGGAAGTTCCAGGGCCCCACCCATCAACTGGGGCATTTGAGTGCTTCTTCTGAGAGACTAGAGACAGTCACAGGACCCAAAAAGAACATTGCAGATTGTTACCTATGGCAAGTGCCTCCTACTGACAAGGAGGTCAATTTCCATGCCCTTTACAGCATTTACTGACTCAATTTTACAGGATGAAGGGGTAAAAGGAGTGGCCCTTTGGGGGACTGCCTACAACTCCCCACAGAAAAACTGTGCTAATGGATAAGGGTAGAAAGAACCAAGCCCAGGACCTTGGAATACAAGTCTTTAGCCTTCTCCCCCATGAACAGCCCTCCCAGCTTGCCTGGACCCTCCTATCAGCAGCTCCCCGGAGTGGCCAGAAAAGCAACTTCTAAGCCCTCCAAGGCTTGGCAAAGCCTTTCAGGCTCCCACAACCTAGCCATGAACTGCCTTTTTCCTCCCTACCTTAGTGGTGGTGGAGATCAAGAAACCCCCTGGGAGCTACAAGGTCCCTTCTAAAGCTTGGGGCACTCAAGTACTCCCCCTGGGGTACCAGAGTCTAACACGGACACAAAAGAGCATCATGGCAGCTAGCTCTATCACACAAACATCAACCAATGACAGGGAGAACAATGCTATAGCACATCATAGAATCTTCTGACTCAAGCAAACAGAGTGTGGCTGATTCACACAAGTAACACATTCCATCAGGAAGAGTAAACTGGGGGACATAATTCTCTAAATGCTGTTGGGAAGAGGTGAAGACAGCAGGTCACAGGTAATCCAAGAGGCACACCAAACCTGCTAGAACACCTCATAGTCAACTCAGGACTAGTGCTTCTCTCCCTGGCATGCTCAGGGATAAATCTTTGGGGACCAACAGACAGGCTCATAAGCCAGGCCTAACACCTTCAGGTCTTGACCGAGAGGCCAGATGAGAAAGAATCAGTGAAAGAACTTTAGAAACATGAAAAATCAGAGTGAAAGGACACTCCCAAGAGAAGAAAAATAACTTATTACCAATGGATACCAACCAAAATGAAAAGATTGAAATGACAGATGAAGAATTCCGAGTATGTATTGTAAGGAAGTTCAATAAAATGCAAGAGAAAATAGAAACCCAACACAAAGAAACCACAAAAGCAATGCAGGAAATGAATGAAAAATTTACTGAGGAAAATGTATTATTTAAAATAAAACAGAACTTCTTAAAGTGAAAAACTCATTCAAGGAAGTACAAAGCACAGTAGAAAGCCTTAAGAATAGGCTAGATCAGGCAAAAGAAAGCACCTCAGAGCTTGAAGATGACACCTTTGAGTAAAATAAGTCAGCCAAAGAGAAAGATCAGAGAAACATGAGGAACAAATGAAACCTACAAGAAATATGGGATTATGTAAAGATGCCTAACATAAGAATCTAGGCATCCCTGAGGACAAAGAAAAAACACACCACAGTTGTAAAACTTATTTGAGGGAATAATTGAGGAAACTTCCCCTGGCCTTGCTATAAATCTAGATACCCAGGTACAAAAAGATCGAAAGACCCCTGGGAGATTTATTGTGAAGAGGCAATTGCCATGACACATCGTCATCAGACTGACCAAAGAAAACATGAAAGAGGTCCTCCTATGAACCATAAGGTGAAAGCAGCAGGTAACTTACAAAGGAAAACCCATCAGGCTAACTGTAGAATTGTCAACTGAGACCTTATAAGCCAGAGGGATTGGGGCCACATTCTCAGTCTTCTCAAACAGAATAATGGCCAGACTAGAATTATGTATCCTTCAAAATTAAGTTTCTTATATTAGGGAGAAATAAAGACTTTCTCAGACAAGCAAATACTGAAATAATTTATCAAGATTAGACCTGCCCTGCAGGAAGTACTCAGTTCTACATTATACATTGATTAGCATAACAGACACCCACCAGTGTAAAATCACTCAAAAGCTAAAGGTCAGACCCAGATACCACAATGGCTCAATAGGTAAAACAAGGCAATAAAGTTCTATTCAATACGATGAACAGAAATCCACCCCACGTATCAATTCTTTCAGTAAATGGGAATGGCTTGAATTCACCACTCAAGAGACATAGGTTGGCTGAATGAATAAAAAAATACAAGCCAAGTATCTGCTCTCTCCAGGAAACACATCTAAACCACAAGGGCTCATTCAGACTCAAGGTGAAGGGATGGAAAACAATATTCCATACAAACGGAAACCAAAAGGTAAGCTAATGTAGTGTATCATATAAAATAACATAAACTTCAAATCAGCAAAAGTAAAGAAAGACAAAGATGTCATTATATAATGGTGAAGGGAACAATTCAACAAAAAGACATAACAATCCTAAATATGTATGCATCTAACACAGATGCACCCAGATTCATAATGCAAACCCTACTTGATCTAAACAAAATGATAAACAGAAGCATTGAAATAACTGGGGACTTCAACTCCCCACTGACAGAATAGGACAGATCCTCGAAGAAGAAAATAAGCAAAGAAATGATGGACTTAAATGGAACTCTAGAAAAAATGGGCCTACAAGATATGTACAGAACATTCTACCCAAAACAACTGAATATATGTTCTTCTCATCAGCTCATGGAACATTCTCTAAGAATGATCACAGCCTAGGCCACAAAACATGTCTCAACTAATTTTAAAAAATTGAAATTTATACCATGTATCTTCTCAGACCACAGTGGAATTAAAATAAATTCCAACAGAAATGCTCAACTCTATACAAAGTCATGAAAATTAACAACCTACTGCTCAATACTTATTGGCTCAATGTGGAAATTAAGATGGAAATCAAAAGATTCTTTGAACTAAATGACAAAGTGTATAAGAGTTATCAAAATATGTGTGATTCAACAAAAGCAGTCATAAGAGGAAAATTCATAGTGATAAATGCCTACATACACAAAGACAGAAAGGTCACAAATCAACAATCTAATGAATCATCCCAAGGAATTGGAAAAGGAGAAGCAAACCAATCCCAAACCCAGCAAAAGAAAAGAAATAACTAAGGTCAGAGCAGAACTAAATGAAATCAATAACAAAGGAATTATACAGAAGATTAATGAAAGAAAATGTTGGTTCTTTGAAAAGGTGAACACAATCTACAGGGCTTTCCCTAGATTAACCAGAAACAGAAAAGAAAGGACCCTAATAAGCTCGATCAGAAATGAAGAATGAAATATTACAACAAATACCACAGAAATCACAGAGGATATAAACCAATGGAAAGACATATCATGCTTCTGGATCAGCAAAATCAACATTGTTAAAATGTCTATAGTACCCAAAGTTATTTACAGATTCAATGCAATCCGCATTAAAGTACCAATGTCAGGTTTTGCAGATCTAGAAAAAATAATTCTATCCTTCATATGTAACCAGAAAAGACCCTGAATAGCTAAAACAACTTTAAGCAAAAAGAAAAAATTGGGAGGCACCACTTTACCAGATTTCCAGCTATGTTACAAGACTATAGTAACCATAACAGCATTGTACTGGCATAAGAACAGAGACCTAGACCAATGGATCAGAACAGAGATCCCAAACATAAAACCATCCTTGTATTGCCATTTGATCTTTAATAAAGCAGACAGAAACATATACTGGGGAAAAGAATCCTTATTCAATAAATGGTGCTGGGGAAAATCAGATAGCCAGACGTAGAAGACTGAAACAACATCTGCACCTCTCATCACTCACAAAAATTAG